AGTTAACTTATAATTTTTCATTTTATTTGTGGAAAAAAATATTTTCTTATGCGGGACAGCCCATTTGCACTAGTCTGTGCAACTGTCTTAACTTTTTTTTTACGTATACAGTCCACTTCAGATAAAACGGGAGGCTATGATTTTAATATACTGTTTTTTTAGCAAACACCTGTTGATAGTCATTCCCTGCACATTAAATTCAGTATCTTAACTTTATGTTGTCCTTTTCAGCCCAGGTTAATCTGGAGCACATTTGGATTGGCGGGTGGTGAAGGAAATTCCTTCTTCATGCATGCACTTTGTGCAGCGATACTCTTGGTTTATTTTGGAGAGATTACCCCCCCCTTGGGGAAAGTGCTTCACCTGCTGAACGCTGCACAGTAATTGGGAGGTTATGAAAGGCAGCGATTTAGATTATTCCATAGAAGCTTGCAAGTAGAGTTTAGATGAGCAAGTTACAAGGTCCTTGGTTTAATAATTACAGGCTAACATTACCCGTGGGGGTCCACAGTGTTTACTGTTCTCAGGTGGTTCATACAACTTCTCACTGATTTCCCGTATGCAACTATCGCAGAGTATAAACTGGCAGGGGGTGGTGGACTTTTTCTCTTTTATTTGAATCCCTATTGTTTCAGTGATGATATATGGTGGGGTAATAGGGTGAAGCATTTTGGTCCCTTATTTCCTCAGTTGCTGCAGCTGTGAGTCGGCGGCCTAAGCAACTGAGCTGAAATTTGAACAAAGCTGTGGTTCAGAATCACTTTTGTCCTACAAAAGTCTTCCCCTGGTATGACAGTTAATGACAGCTAACTAGGAAGTAATGCTGGGCTGAAAGGCATGCGCTGATGTTTCATCTAGGGATAATAAAAAAAAAAATTTTTCCTGTTTACTGTTCATTAGTCGAGCTAAAAACTGGAACTATTTAACTCAAATTGTATCAGTATATTTCTGCTGTCACTTCTTAGGGCACCTAAGGCTGCTAATTTATATTTTTATGGCATGTCTGCTAGCAAGACTCAGAAAAATGTAAGTAGTAAAATTAATTACTGAAACAATACATTCATTGAAAATCCCAGCATTTTTGTCTTCCATTCATGTAGTTTTCCCATTTAATTTCCTTCTACTTACTCTTATTTTCCTGTTTAGTTAGGGGGTGTCCTGGTTTTGGCTGGGATAGAGCTTTTCTTCCACACCTGTTCTGGAGACTGAATTGAGACTCGAGAAACATGGGGAGATTTTTAACTGGGTTTAATCCATTTTCTGCTGAGTCCACTTCAAACTTATTGATTAATTTTTCTGAACTGTGAAACAGGAATTACTCTCATCTATTTTCCTGGGCAAACTGGAGTGTCCTGTTTGCTGGAAAGCAAATCCCACTGTCCCTGTGCTTGTTCTCTCTCTCCTTAATTGACACTTTCCTCTTCCCTCTTTTCCCGTTGCTTTTTCATATCTTAGTCCCCTCGCCCCCACCTGCCCGCATTCCCAGCAGTGTTTTGTATATTGTTTCAGTACTTCAGCTATAGCCTACAGCTGTTGTGAGGAAAAGCAGAATAAAGACTATTGGATTAAATAGGATTGGTTATTGACAGCAACTGCAGGAGTACTTTTCAGGACAAAAAAGTGGTAAAAAACCAAACTAGTATTTGGGGCTTATGGAGATTCTGATCTTTCAGGACCATAGAGTTAACAACTGTAGTCAGTCTTCGTATGGAAAACAGTGGTGTAAGGCGTCCATGTCAACCTTTGATTTTAAAATATGTAGGACTACCACACTTTTAAAAAAGATGATTAAGCTTTGGTAGAACAGACCTGTCAGATCTCTCCCTTGAGGGTTAGAAGCTGGAGAATCCCATTCCATCGCGGCCATCTCCCTCATCTCTCTGGATTAATGAGTTCTGTTCTGAATACCACCAAGGCTGTGTTAGGACAGTTGTTCACAAAACCCAGAACCAGTCGGAAAGTTACCAGGTCAAAATAAGGTTTGGGGGTCCTTTTGAGGGGAAAAGTAAGGGGGATGAATCCTTGCTGTTCTTAGATTGATCTCCAAGCTTTGGGATATCTACTATTAATCACGTTTAATATCTCCATCTGGTTGCGTTCCAGTCCAGATTTGTTTGTAATACTCAAGAGAAAGTTGTTGAGCACTGCAGAAAGACTTCAGAATTGATTTTTACAGTGGTGGTGGTAGCCCCTCCAGCCCTCAGTCAGCGGGTGCCGTACCCTGTGCTGTAAGTAACAAAGGTGGTGTGGCAGGTACCGGGAGGAGGATCAGGCTGCCGGGTGAGCTGGTGCAGACAGGATCACGCGCATGCTGCTCAGGGTTAGCATTGTCTGGCTTCTGTAGCAGACTCAGAAAGCGTGCCCCAAAATACTTGGTGTGGTCTGCTTCTCGGCTGTGGGTGGTAGTTCTGAGACATTCCTATTTCCTATGTGTATTTTTAATATGAGACTGTACTGGGCCTGCTGGAGGGGTGGTGGTACGTGGCATGATGTTGAGGCTGAATGTTGCTTGTCACAGGGTTGTGGTGAAAGGAGTGGTGTTTGCAGAAACGTGGCTTGTTGGGGTTGCTGTCAGCAGTGAGGGCAGTGTGCTCTTCCAGGGGTATGTGAGACCTCTGCCATCTAGTTCTGTAGTAAGAATTCACTGAACAGCTCTAGTTCGGTCTTCTGTTGTCAGTGTTGGCTGTATAGGAGAAAGAAGTGATGGAGATACGGTTTTACTCCAGTTTGTAAGTAAATACATCAAGGAGGTGTGCTGAGTGTGAAGATTTTTATAACTGAGGGGTGAGATTTGTTTGCATTTGGATCTGAAGTTTCTATTCTGTTGGATAGTGCAGTAGCTGGATACTGTTTTACTCCTCTTAGCATTATAAAATTAATTACCTGCAGAAACAAGTAGTTGAGCTTATTGTATCTGTGAAGTATGTAACTGACTGCACCTCAAAGCTGCTTTCCAGTTTTTTGTTACAAGCTGACGGTATGGAAATAGTGTGTGCTCTCATCATGCAGCTTAGATTTGCTGATTCTTTTGATGATTTTTTTTTTTTTCTTTCAGATGTATGTAGCTGTCCTGAACTGTGTAGATTTCCTTATTTTCTAGGTCAGTTGGATGTTAGGTGTTGCTCTGTGGCTGGTGCTTTCTTTCCTGTTCTGGTGACAGAGCTACTGGGCATCAACAGAAGAAAAAATAGTTCTGTTCATTCTCAGGTTTCATTTGGAGAGTAGTAGAGGCCCATGCTGTCAATACCTTACAGGCTATTCTCATGATTTTCCATGTGGAAAATCAGGGGAAGGGATGTAAATGAGACCACTAAGCTAATCTTTCTGTGTCTTTTAAAACAATGAGGCAGACACCCATGCGGTCTCCAGTGTAATTTAACTAAGAACAGAAAGAATTAATTGGAAAATGTGGTCTCAAGGGCCAGTAGACAAGGAGGGGAGGACTAAAAGGAACTCAAGCTTCCCTTGTTTGTTTCAATTACTCTGTCCTCGTGTTCCTGAAGACCAGATGGGGACTGCCCCCCACCCCAGCAAAACCCCTCAAAAACCTGTGGTTATTTGTATGACTACATGCCTTTTTTTTATTATTTCTTGAGAACCCCTCCCTCTCCTCTTTTTTTTTTTTTCCCACATTTTTTTTTTTATTATTTTTTCCCCTCCTTTCCTTGTAAGTAATATTCTCTTCTCCAGTGTAGCCTCTTCTTTTTTGTGCTCTTCTCTGCGGTTGAAGTGGATGTGGAGACGTGTAGGCGGTAAGGTCACTGAAAACTTCCTTCTCATCCTTCGAGCAGCTCTGTGTGTTGCCCGCGGATGGAGAGAGCAGGTTAGCTGCTCTGTGTAGTGCCTGCCGGGAGGGACAGCAGCTGGTCATTTCCAGCAAACCCCGAGAAGCTCAGACACTACATTGAGTAATTCATCTTGTCAGTCCTAGGTCTGGCTCCCACATACACCTCTATAAATCAGCAAACTTTTCCAGAAAACACCTGGGCTAAACAAGTGGAAATGTAGAGTTTACTGTATTCCTTCTACTTGTAATATGTCTCCAGGGTCTCATGTATATTTTGAAAGGCGGTATAAAATAACCTCCCATACTGTTGTGTTCCTTCTCTTTGATCCAGCCTGTTTCATGTGCATTGTCTTTAATCACTGCCTTTGTTTCACTTAGCCTCAGTCCTTGTTCTTCTCACAGGTGGCAGTTTTCCATATCAAAGCTCTCTTATTAAAATTTCATCATCTCTCTGCTGTGAGATGATAGTAACTGACAAAAGTATTAGCGTGGTAACTTGATAGTGTGGTAGAAGTGAAAGGCTGTATGAAAATGGAGCTCTTGAAAGAGAGCAGGAAACAAAACAAAAGATTGGATCCTCACAGACCTACCACTGCAAGACCTGAACCGTTCCCTTGAAAAGCAGGAAGATTTGCCTCCCGTGGCAGCATGTGAGAGGGGAATACTGGGCAAAGACCCACAGGGTAGTACTGGCAGGCAGCAGACACGGAGGAATGCTTTCTGATGTCAGTCAACCATTGTGGGGTTCACACTGTGTTGTGTAGAGCAACGTAGCATCAATAGTACTCTCTTTCAGAAGAAAACAGTTTAATTCTGCAGAGACTCATGTAGTGTTCATTTTGGTGGGGGGACCTAACTTTACTCATAGCACAGTCTGTTGCTTTACAGCTGTTGTTATTTTTGACAGGAACAGAAGTAGTAAAGCCTGTGTATTGCCAGGCACTGTACACAGACATAACATGAGGCAGTGGTTGCACTTTCTGCGCTGGAGGAAAAAGAAAAAGCCTGGGATTAGAGAACAAAGCAGGAAAGTGACTTGCCTAAAATTATGCAGCTGATTTGTGGCTGATCTAGGAGCAAAGCTTAGAGTCTTAGTTTCTGACGAGTAGTCCTTTCCTGTTTTCTCATAAGCTGTTTTCATGAAGTCTGTGAAGGTACAGTGGAGAATGGTAGAAACTAACTCCTTCCTTTTTTTTTTTCCTCTTTTGTCCAGGTTAAGTCATGTTTTCTGACATTTGAACAGCAAACAGCATCATGGCTCCGTGAATTGCAAAACCACAGGAAGTGTGGCAGCCCTCCCTACCTCCAGCTTTCCTTCCTTACTGTGACATCCTTCTCAGGACCCTTGGTTTCATCCCTGCTGGCTGTGCAGTGGCCAGCCTCGGCATCAGCAGAGGAAGCAGGTTGCGGATCAGGGAGAGCCATGGCCGTGAGCTTGTATGTCTTTCACCTCTTCTATAAGTTCAAAGTGTTGGTGCTTGTCACTCTCAGTTTGATGGTGCTGTGGGCCACATTCAGTTACTTTGTGGACTCCAGACAGGAAATTTCTAAAGCTAAGAGCATGGTAGAGCATTTCAGAAAGGTAACTAGCGTGGAAGATGGTCAAAAGGAAGAGAAGATGGAATCAATTGCAAATGTTCCCACAGTGAAGTCGTTTCAGGATCACTGCCCAGCTCTGTCTCCATACCTGCGTAAGTGGTGGTGCTTTCCTTTTTAAGAAGTTATGTCTGCTTTGGTACTGCTGACTGGGTTTTCTTCTTAGCTGTTTCAGTTAGACACTTTTCCTGTGAAACAGATACAACACAACCAGTTGCAATAAGCACTTCTGGGTGAAGAAGTGACTTGTGGCACAGCGTGCCTGTGCTGGGTCTGGCTGGGATAGCAACCTGTGTGGTACTGTGCTTTGCGTTTGTGGCTACAGCAGCTTTGGTGAGTTGGCTGCTGCTGGACAGTGTTCGCACACTGTTGAGGCTTTGTGTTTCTCTCCTGATCCCCTGAACTCTGGTAGGCTGGGAGTGGGCAAGAGGTTGGGAGTGGACACAGCTGGGACAGCTGACCCCACCTGACCGAAGGGATATTCCATACCCATCAGCAATAAAAGCTCAGGGAAAGGAGGAGTGGGGGGAGTTCATGGTTGCAGTGCTTGTCCTCCCACCAGCTGCTGTATGTGCTGAAGCCCTGCTTCCCAGGACATGGCTGGGCATCTGCCTGCCAATGGGAAGTAATGAGTGAATTATTTTTTTTGCCTTGCTTGCACCTGTAGCTTTTTTTTTTTTTTTAAATTAAACTATCTTAACCAGAAGTCTTTTCACCTTTCTTCAATGTTTTGCCTTTTTGTTATTAGATGTACTTTTTGTCTCTCTATCTTGACAATTGAAGAACTTCACAGCTGCATTAGGGTTATCACTGCTTATGCTGAATGTTCAAATATGTGACTGGCCATTTTTAGTCCACTTTTTTTTTGGTCTTGGTATTGCTAACAGCACCAGGCTTCTTTGCAGGATCATGTCATTTGTCTTCTTCCTCTTCCTTTTTGTGAACGTGGTTAGGGATTTGTCTGGGAAACTGGATTCTTGCCTGATGTTGTCAAAAAAAGCTGCTGTCTAGCTGTGCACCCCTCAAGATGTATTCGTTTAAGTAAACACACAGTGGCTGTAGCTGTCACAGATGACAGCTTTTTCATGGGTTTGCTGAGTCCGGAGGGGCTGAAATGATAGATCAGTGTAAGAGAAGTGATGAAAATTTCATTTGGCTACAGAGAACCTTGGTATGTTTTAGTTTACAAATTTATAACCTTAAGGCTCTCTGATGCTTTTGTTCTTATGACTTCTCATGGCCACAGTCTTGTGTCGCTTTCCACTTCTCTCCCCTCTGCTTTGCTGTGGTGCCTGTTTCTGGCCAATCTTTCTGCAGTAGGGTGGAACTTCTCTTGATTTTTTTTTTTTTTTTTAATCATCACTACTCTATAATCAGTTTAAGCAACTAAACACTTGATACCCTCTCTTTTCACTGCCTGCATAATATCCTTGTAGCACTACTTTTCTCTTGGAAAGTCAGGGAAAACAGCTGAGGCTTGAACCTGGTTTTCTTATGCTGGTTACAGAGTGCCTCATTAAGTGACTGAACTAGACACAACCAGAGCAAACTCAGGAAAGCTGCTTGTGCTTCTCCTACAGGAGGTGCCAGCAAACTCACCTTCAAAGCATCTCTCACGCTAGACGAGGTGCAAAAGGAGAACCCTCAGGTAGCCAAAGGGCGGTATCACCCTACGGAGTGCTCAGCGCTGCAGCACGTGGCCATCCTCATCCCACATCGCAATCGAGAGAAGCATCTGCTGTACCTCCTGGAGCACCTCCACCCCTTCCTACAAAGGCAGCAGCTAGACTACGGCATCTACGTTATTCACCAGGTGAGGTACCTGTGCAGAGATGTGTTTGGGGGGGGGGGGGGATGGTGTCAGTGCTCTGTAGTCTGAGGACAGGCGTGCTGCTGCCTCTGCTGTCTCACATTAGTCCCCCAAGCCTGCTTCGAACGCTTCCACTCGTTGAGGGTGCGTGCAGCCATTGCTGGTGGCACCACAGGATCTCAGCTGCCGTTAGCAAAGCTGCGAGGGATTAACCAACTGGTTAATACCATTTCCCAGTTTAAGTAACCTACTATTTCTGAGTTAGTGTTCAAGGTGTAAGCATCTTTTGCATTCCTAAGGCAACTCACTTCTCTTGCAGTGTGCACACACGTAACCAGGCTGACACGTTTTCTGTCTTTTGAGTTGTTTGGATTGAAGGCCTCAGTTTGTATCTAGCTCATCTCTCCCATCTGCCTGCTGGCTGTCGTGCTTAGTAAGCTGTGTGTATCATGTGGTTGTACATACTTCTGCTGTCTCAAACTAAACATAACAGTTACTAGTTGTAGGTACTTTACTTGCCAAGCAAGGGCCATGGGAAGAAGTCGTGGAAGAGCACTTGGCTCCTGAAAGTTTTATTAATTTTATTATTTGCATTTTTTTCTAGCTCTGAGAGCAGAGCAGCTAAAATTTGATCATACGTCCGTGTGTCATCTTGGCTTTCATCTAAGGTGCTTATGTTCTAGTCGTGTGAGCTAAAAGCAGTATAGATTTCTCTTTTGCAATATGTTGTCTTTTTCTTGATCTTTTACTGTGTTTGCTTTCTTTTACTATCATTTACTTACATGTTCTGCTTTGGCTCTAAACAGATTTTTTTCAGAGTAGGAGAAAAAGGGGATAAATATAGTTTCTTTTCCCTTCTGTTTAAAGAGACTAAAGTCAATTAACCAGTACGAGGCAGTGCATTCTAGGTGAAAGCTTACTCTTTTGCTCAGTGGCACAGCAGAACAGCAGCAAGAGTCATGGCAAGATATATACTTTCATTTGGAACAGACTGTTCTTTCATTGTTTAGAGTCATTGTGTGGCCCAGAGAGTAGAAAAACAGGCTTTTTTTCTTCATTAGTATGTACTGTAACCATACATATAATGGCTCACTCCAGCTAGCAAGCAATGGGTAGCAATAAATCATTGGGAGAATGGGCTTATGTTCTTTATTTAAATATGTGAGGTGGAGAACAGCTGTTGTCATGTTAGCAAAAAGTAATACAGAAGTATGAAAGTGCTGCTCACATCAAACAAAGTCAAGTCTGGACTTGTTCTATCAGAGTTTTACATGGAAGATTGGAAGCTTTTGCTTAGCCTTTCCATGTAGATAGGTATGCCCAAAGGCTGGCAAGTGGGTCTAACAAAACTCTTTTACGACGAATCCATTTTCACTCTCCATTTTTGATGTCATTAGTTGTTTTAAGTATCTTTTGAGGAAGGGAATAGGTAAAACCAGGGTTTAACTATTAAAATACACAGAGTTTACTTTGGAGGAAGATTAAGAAATGGGCCTTTTATATTTTTCTCTGTAAGCCATTGAAGGGCATATGCCAGATCTCTTCATGGCCTACTTGTAGCATCTTGAAAATCACATTTCTCTGCACAAATATGTGCATACATGAATGCAATGCTGAAAAAAAAATTAGTTTATAATCCCTAAAGGGTGAATAACTTCTTTCTCAACCTAAGTTAGTAGTGTGGTCAGTGTTCATCAAAGGAGGACAAGTCTCTCAGCAAGAAAAAATGGGAATAAACCTTGCTATTTGTTCAGCATGTTGGTCTCACATTGAAAATTACCCTTCCTGGAAAGCAATTTTAGCTTTTGTTCAGCTACCATCGTGCAGGAAGTGGGCTGTGGTGCCTGACTGCTGATGGGGGAGACGGAACTGCAGCAGACTGTAGATGCTGCTGCTGAACAGGCTGGGTTTGACACTCAATACAGGTTCTCCCCATGTTTTTTAGCAGTCATCTGAATTGTTCTGTTCACGGAATAACACTTATCTTCATCACTGGGAGAAGATTATCTGATGGATGTCTTCATATACAGGACACTTAGCCACACCAAAAAAAAAAAAAAAAAAAAATCAGAAATTTTACATCATAGATTTTGGGTGAATTATATCTAAATTTTTGTTGATAAATTCATTCCCTGACTGAGAATGGAAGCAACTGTTTATCCATTTTGTAATTTCTGAGTGGGCACTGAGCTGTAGTTCCATAACTGCAGGTATGAAGGCATAAATCCCGTAAATCGTCTTTGTGCAGGAACAGATGTCTGTTATTGATGGTGAACACGTTGCTGCTTCAGAGCAAAGCATTGCTTTTCAGAACAATAAAACATGCTTTGTATACAACTGCTTTTCCCTATAGCTAACCTGCTCTCAGTCTGGGGAGGCTGTCTTCTTTCTCATCTTCCATGGAGCCTCTTTCAGTCTAGGCACCTTCTAGCAAATGACCTCTTTCTCTTGAAAATTTCTTTTGTGTTCTTTCAAGTATGTCAGGTTCCTAGCTCTGGAAGATGACTGTCCTGTCAGTTTGTGGGAGCACAGGGCTTGGCCCTCTGACTCCCAGGGGGGAACTTGAGGCAATGCACCACCTTGTCCTCAAGGAGCAGAAAGCCTTCTACAGTCTGGCATGTGTGCACAGCCCCGTGAAAAATAAACAGCAAGATAAGCACACCTGTTGCTTCAGAGTGAATGGTGATGTGGAAAGCTTACAAAACTGTGAGCGGGGGTGTGTGTGTATGTATGCCTTAAAGATAAAAAAAATGGTATTTTTGAAAAGCAGAGACACGCTGACTTAAAGCAAACAACAAAGACTAGTAAAAGTCAAGTGGAGCTTTGTGCTAGGGGGAGTCCCTGTGCAGCATAATGATTAGATTATAGGTGGGAGTTAAAAATGAAGGCACCTGCTTTCTATTTCCCACTCTGCCACCTACTGTGTGACCTAAGGAAATACAGTGAACACTTTAAGCGTTGCTGTCCTCTAAACTGAGTGGGCAAGCATAAGTCATCTGTGGCAGGTGCTCTGACATCTATAATTAGTATGGCAGCAGCGTGTTTTTGAGTTTGGCTTTTTTTTCTTGCCCTTTTTAAAAAGCTTCCATAAGCCTTACTGACAGTAGTGGGAAGTGCCAGTTTCTAAACTGTTTACCGATACCTCTTTCATTATGTAGCCTGGTGGGAACGCCAGGACAGGAGCAGCAATAGCAGTGAAATTGTATCATGCAGCACGCATACTTCTGTTGTGCGTGTAGACTGGGAATGTAGATTCTCCTGGCCCTGGATGTTTGCTCATGACAAGTAGAGACTGAAAAACCACTTTGCATCCTTGGCCCCTCTGATGCCGTACCCAGTGGTGTTACTGCTGTAAAGGCTGTGACGCGCGAATGCGGTTGTGAACTACAAGCTCAGAACAAATGCCCGGTTGCAGCTCTGGTTCAAAAGGTTTGACACCTTCTTCAGAGGTTTTTTTCCATTCTCTTCCACAGGCTGGCAACACCAAATTTAATCGAGCTAAACTGCTGAATGTAGGATACCTAGAGGCCCTAAAAGAAGCAAACTGGGACTGTTTCATTTTCCATGATGTGGATCTGGTGCCAGAAAATGACTTTAACATTTACATGTGTGACAGACAACCAAAGCACCTTGTAGTTGGCAGGAACAATACTGGATACAGGTAGGAAAACAGGAATGTGGAAAGAATACCAACTGGGAAATGCCATGTGACTGATAATGTTCTTCTTCCGATGGAGCTGTATGCTGGTATCTGTACTTCTTCCTGACACCAGATTTCTGGTGGTAACACTTTCGCCCCCCCTGGAGTGCCTTGTGGCAAAAGAGAACTGTATGGACATTCCTGAAGTCAGCCCTGTGGTCACCTGTAGCTGTCTGATCATTGCCATTGCTCTGGTTTCTGGTGCGAGGTAAAGGGTGTTCTGAGAGGAAAGCAACGTGCCAGAGGTTGTGCAGAGACCTCCCGTCAAAGCTAGAAATGCATTTGCACTCTCCTGGTCCTGTGATTTGAGGGTATGATCTTACTATAATAAAACTTGCTACTTACCTTTTATTGTTGAAGAGGTAACGTCTGATAGTGAGAGCTCCAGTGTGAGAATTCGCCAAAGGGATGGGGATGTCCTTTAATTATTTGGCTGGGCAGTGTCTAATACAGGGTCATTCTGATTTTTAAATGGGTCCCCTCAGTGCTAGTGTGGTATAAATAATTTAAAGTGAGAAGTCAGGTTCAGTCCACCTTGAAGAAAAAAGGCTTCTGAGCTCGGTGAATTTAGTGACTGGAGTGTTTTCACTGAATTTGTTTCTTTCAAGGTTCACCTCTTATGTCACTCTAAATATTAATTAGAAGTGGGCTTCTCAAAAGCTGATCTCAAAGTACTCTGAAGTAAAACTCCGCTTCAGTTCTGTGTTTCCTTTGTTAAATATATGACAAAGAGCTGGGGTGTGCAAATTCTTATACAGAATAATATTCTCTTTCCAGTCACTTAAGGAAAACTGGAACAAGTACAAATGAACGAGGCTCGTGACAGGCTTCTGGAGCACTGTAGAGAGAATGCTGAGGGCTACAGGATGGTCAGTGCACCAAAGCAACAAGCACTGCTTTAGCTAATTGACAGGCACGTGGAGTCCAGGCTAATAACACGGCACAAAGCTCGAGGTGTTTTACTTAACCTCCTGTGCCTTAATCACTGCAAGTGTTTTGCTTAGTTAAGTGTGCAGATGGATTTTTGCTTTTACTAGGGGATCTTCTTAGTATTAATTTCCTCAGACTTCTGTTTGTGGAAAGGAGCTGTTAGTTATAGATCAGCTTTAAGCTTTGGCTTTAAAGAGTATGAACAAAATGTTTTTGTTGTGAATACCTTGCACCAGTATTCGCTAGGATACTGGTGGTTTGAATTTGATTCATGCTGGTTTTTTGTGTCGCTGCCTCTGTTTACGCATCCATGAAGTGGGGGTAATAATGCTCTGCTCCAAGGGAATTCCTGGGTGCATCTGGAGGAATGCAGATCTTGAGCTCAGGAATGACACCTAAACTGAGCTGAGACCACAGGTCAAAAGCCCAGTTGGGTGACCTCAGTGTTTTGCTTAGACTGAGGTGAGCATACTGACATGTTGCTCAGATGAGGTTGAGAAAATGGAAGTCTTGTGTGTTCTGATTTCATACAAGATATCCTGGGCAGGAGTGTGGGGGTTTGGGGCTCTCCTGGGGCTGTTTGTTTGTTTGTTTTTCCTTCCAGGGGGATATCTTTTATGGTGATGCAGTAAGTGGTAATCTAAGCAGCCATGCTCCTTTTCAGAGCAAGTACCATATGTTTAGTTACATAAACTACAATTCAGTTTTAGATACTTAGGGCAGAGGTTTATATATTAAAACTTTGCGGGTTGGAAAACCTTTTTTATCTTAGCTATTTCGTTGAGACAAGCATAATGTCCTCTCCCAGTGACTGTTTCTATTGTATGGTTACTTCAGTCCAATTTTAAAAACCCCAAAGGAGCTGATGTTTTCTTGTCCTCAGGAAAGAGGTGGTTGAACACTGTTAGAGGTACGTTTTTGCAGATGATGTCACCTAGGAGCAAGAGATGCCTGGGCCCTGCTAGTTCTGCTCTGCCTGAGGGGGGTTGAGTGGGCAGCACTGTCCTGCTCACAGCTCTGGCTCCTTTGGTCTCTACCTCTCCAGTGGCATAGGGGAATGTTGGGGTGCATAAGCAAGTAGTGGGGTGCATATATGGATGTATGGGTGGGCAGTCAGTGCCCAAACCCTACCAGGCTGCTGGAACGTGGGGACACGGTACCATTGGTGACTGGCAGTGCAGCCTGGAAGCGTGGCTGGGGAGGACTCTTCTTGCTGTCGCTGTTTATGGGACCTCCTTGCTGTCCATTCCACCTGCTCGCTGCATTTCTTTAGAGCACCCACAGCAGAAGTCTCAAGAAAGTAATGAATAGTTAAAACTTGATAAGGCCTCCCCTACCTTATGGTTGGTCTCCTCTAGGAGAGGAGATAAAGGGGAGAGAGCAAGGGAGACTAAAAACTCCAGAGGTAGAAAAACCAGCAGATAGAGCATGAGAGATTGCATCTGCCTAGAACAATCCTTTTTTGAATGTTTATATAGATAACACCATCGTTTAGGAAGTATGCCACAGTCCCAGCAAATGACAGTTGAAGCTTTTTTTCAGACAACTGGAAGAAGCCTTATATATACAGGCCCTGGTCCTCATGGAAGACTTTAATTGTCCTGGTATCTGCTGGAAGGACAGCACAACAGGGCACAAGTAATCTAGGAGACTTTGGAAGTGAATTGATGATAACTTCCTGACACAGGTGATCCAAGCTGACAAAGGGAGGTGTTCTGCTGAACTTGGTACTTGCAAACAAGGAGGAACTGGTCAGGGATGTGAAGGTCGGCGACAAGGAGGGAAGGAGGCAAATAGCAGGTTCACAGCCCTAGGCTTCCTGTTCAGGGATCTGCTTGGAAGAATCACTTGGGAGTTGACCCTGGAGAGAGGAGAGGTTCAGGAGAGCTGGTAGATCTTCAGGGGTTGTCTCCTTCATGCTCAAGAATGGTATATTCCCATGTGCAGCAAGTCAAGCAAAGGTGGACTAAGGCCTGCATGGGTGAACAAGGAGCTCCTGAGAAAACTCAGACAGAAAAAGGAAGCATGAAAGAGGTGGAAGTAGCCAGGTGACTTGTGAGGACACACAAGATTCTGTCTGAGCATGCAGGGATAGGGTTAGGAAAACCAAAGCCCTGCTCTGGAGTTGTCTTGCAAACAACGTGAAGGGCGATGTGAAAGGCTTCTGTGGGTGCATCAGCTGCTGGGAAGAATAGGGAAAATGTTTACCTGCTCTGTGGCAGGGGACTTGGTGACAAAAGACAAGAAAAAGGCCAAAATGTTCAGTGCCTCCTCCGCCTTGGTCCATACTGGTAAGAATTGCCTTCAGGAATCTTGGTCATCTGATACCAGTGGAAAAGTCTGGACTTATGAGGATTGACCCCTGGTGGAGGAGGATCCAGTTAAGGAAAACTCAAACAAACTGGACATACGCCATAAAGCCATGTGACCTGATGGAATGTATCCACATCCTAAGGGAACTGGTTGCTGTTGTTGTGAGGCCATTCTGTTATCTTTGAAAGGTCATGATGGTTGGGGGAGGTTCCTGAAGACCGGAGGAAAACAATGTCACTCCTGTCTTCAGGACAGGCAAGAAGGAGGATTTGAGGAACTACAATCTGGTCACCCTCTTCTTTTAATCACTGGGAAGGTGATGAAGCAATTATGTTCACAAGTCATGCCTGACCAACTTGATAGCCTTTTCTGATTTGACTAGCTTGGTGGGTGAGAGAGGGGCTGTGGATAATGTTAATCTTGACTTAAAAGGGTTTTCAACACTGTCTCCCATAACATCTCCATTGACAAAGTGATAAAGTATGGACTAGCAAGTGGAGAGTAAGGTGGACTGAAAACTGGCAGAACTGCTGGGCTCAAAGTGTTCTGATCAGAGAAGCAAAGTCCAGCTGGAGGCCAGTCACTAGTGGTTTACTCCCAGAGTTTGATACTAGGGCTGGTACTAGTTAATATCTTCATTAGTAACCTGGCCAACGGGGCAGATTGCACCCTCAGAAGTTTTCAGAAGATAGACGTCTTAGAGGGGCGGTGGGTGTACCAAGGACTTTGTCAGGCTGGAGAATGTGGCCAACGGGAATCTAAAGAAGTTCGACAAAGGGAAATGCAGAGCCCTGTACCTGGCGAGGAGTAGCTCCACGTGCCAGTAGGTGCTGGAGGCCAGATTTCTGGAAAGCAGGTTTACAGTAGAGGCTCTGGGCCTGTAACGTTCCCTCGTGATAAAGGCCAGTAGCATCTCGGGCTGCGTTAGGAGGGGAGTTGCCAGCAGGCTGAGGGAGGTGATTGTTCCCTTCTACTCAGCACCACTGAGATGATACCTGGAGTGCTGTGTCCAGTTCTGGGTTCCCCAGCACAGTAAGAATGTGGACGTACTGGGGTGAGTCCAGAGAAGAGCCATGAAGATGATGAAGGGATTGCAGGATCTGGCATGTGAAGAGAGGCTGATTGTGCTGGGCCTGCTCAGCCGGGAGCAGGGAAGGCAGAGGGGGAGCTTGTCCCTGTGAAGGGAATAAAGGTGGCAGAGCCAGACCCTTCGCGGTGAAAGGCAAGAGGCAATGGGCACAAGCTGAAATACAGGAAATTCCATTTAAACGTATGAAAAATCTTTTTTTATTGTGTGTGTGTGTGGGGGGCAAATACTGGAACAGGCTGCCCACAGAGGTGGTGGAGTCTCCATCCTTGGAGGTGCTTAGGGCCCGAATGGACGTGGTCCTCAGCAACTTGCTCTAGCAGACCCTGCGCTGAGCAGAGGGACTGGACTATTTGATCTCCAGAGGCCCCTTCAACTTCCACAATTCTCCTGTGATGCTGTGACAGGAGCAAAAATCAGCCAGGAAAAACAGTCCAAGGGAGGCGGTGCGTGGTGGTTTTTTGTTTTTGTTGGGTTTTTTTGGTGGTTTTAAATTAGATTCATGGTAAGCCAGAAATAGTAATAAGCATTGCACCTTTGTGTTTCTGGCAGGTAAGCTGCCATAAGGGATACTTTGTAGCCCTGGCAACGTGTTCATCTGTTTGGATTCACATACATCTAGAAATCAAAATGCAGTCTGCAGCCACATGCACATCACCCATGACGTTGGCGGTGGCAGTGTAGTAGGGGCTGTGTTGTAGTACTTACCTGAAGGGTCAAGAAATAGGAGGGTATCATAAAAAACAATTAGCAAAATGGTATAAGAAGATAAATAAGCATGGTATTTACATACCTTTTTAAAGTAGATGTAGTTTCCATGACAAGGAAGGCAGAAGTTAGAAATTAATCTCCTTCAGAGCTGAGCTCCATTACATGAGGTTACTAAGTAACCTGGACTGTGCTTTACCTTGGAATTGGTCTGGCTGTATCCCCTAGCACATGCCCCCTTCCTGTGAGCTGATTTCATTCCAAGTTTTTCAGATTCAGCTCTAAGCTACACTAGTCGATGGCTTGCTAGCGTTGTTGTAAAGCTGCCGCTATAGTAGTGCATCGCTTTGTTCCTTTTCTGCTCATCAGACTCCTTGAGGTGAAGCGCCTTTTTGGCTGGCAAGGGGAATTGTATAAAGAGGGAGAGAAACTATTGAAGAAGGTTCTGTTCTCTCAGCTGGAGAGGTAACTTCTTTTTTTTTTTTTTAAAGCAAATCACCATCTTTTTCTGAAAAGATGAGTACAAGACCAGCGTCATGGCTTTGTGCACCCTTAACTCTGTGAAAGACAAGTCTAGATCCAGTTGCAGGATGATATTTTCATTGTTAGCAGAATGTGAATTCCTGAATTCTTCATTCTCTCTTCTTGTGTACTTCTAGGTTACGGTACAGGGGATATTTTGGAGGTGTAACTGCTTTAACAAGAGATCAGTTTTCCAAGGTGAATGGATTCTCTAACAACTACTGGGGCTGGGGTGGAGAAGATGACGACCTTCGAATCAGGTAAAAAATGATTAAAAAAAAAAAAAGGCTAAAGGGAAATGGATGTGAGAGGTAGAGGAATTAGTTTAAAAAAAAAAAATCAGTGTGACTTCACACCTTGCCTCCAAAGGTAGAATGCTACAGGAGCCTTCAATTTGAAACAGTATTGCAGTGGGGATTTGGAGTTGCAAGATGCAGTTCACAGAACTGCAAAGTTCACAGTCCCTATTTGCGAAGGTTAGGCATTGCTGGTTGGGTGTGGGTTTTGTTATGCTTTGGGGTTTATTTTCTTTTTGTTGGGTTGTTGTTGTGTTTGTTTTTTGGGTTTTTTTTTTTTTTTTTTTTCCCCCTCAGCCACACAGTATTTGTATTCTTGCTTGGAAATTGGTTAACCAAACAGAAATAATAAGATTGAAGTCTGGAGCATGATTTGCCAAAGAGACAAATGTATTGAGTTCCAATACTTTGCAGGAGCGTGGGAGTGTTTTGGTGGGTTTGGGTGTTTTTTGCATTCATTGACTACCATGATTTACTCCAAGCAGTGCTTAGTTTGTATGTGGGTGGTATTGATTATAGTTAAGATAGTAAGTTGAATTTTAGAAAGATTGCGTGTATAAGCATCTACCCTTTGCTCTTGTTAAAATTAGTTTTGCAGATGTGCATGTCAAAGTAGGAGAAACTTTTTAGTTTGAGAGGTTTAGTGGGGCAAAGAAGTCAACAAAACTTTTATATTGAGCTTCCTAAGCCCTTTGCCTAGGAAGAAGTCTCTAATCCTGCATTGCTGCTAGTGAAGGAAGTGGTGGGTGGGGGAAAACAATTGGGGGAAAAAAACACAACACCTCAAGCTCTGCTGGCAGAGCCTGTCAATTTGTAACTTAGGTATTACTCTGTCATTCTTAAGTGTTTGTCCTTTTCAGTTGCTTAAATATGCAAACAAACAGTTTGGGGACATAAAATTCATATCCGTGGTGGTAATAAATAATTACACCGGTGAAATCTAAAAGGCATGGATTTCTGTCCCTTCTTAATCACAACTTTTCTCCCCCTAGCTAGAGACACCAGCTTCTTCTCTGTGACCTCTTGGGAGCTGGTTTTGATAGTGGTAGGGGATGGCTTGGTACCATCTTATTCCCCAGCTTCCTGAGAAGCGTCACAGTTAATGAGTGAAGGAAGGTGACAGTGGTGCTCTTGCAAACGCTCCTGTGGGCAGCAGAGAACCAGCTGTGCAGCAGATCAGCAGGATCTACTGAGGGTCTCTGCAAGTGGTTGGAATCAAAAGCGATGCTTTTGATGCATGGCACCTCGTAACTTTGCAGCTGTTGGTGTGGAAACCAAATTGGGTGACCCAGAGTACGGGCTGCAACTGGACTTGGCTCATCCCATTCCTCTTGGGTGGGTCGTGGACTGGGCTGGTTACGGGGTTTGCAGTGGGTAGGGCAGGGGAAGCTTGCTGCCTTGGGGGGTGGTTGTACGGAGAGATCCTTGCGGCCTTCCTCAGCGAAGACTGCAGGTGGCAGCATCCCCTTCAGTATCTTCAAGAACTCAGGCTGGAGTGCTCTTAGGTCCTACTGGTTTGCCTCTGTGCTAAATGTGAGGGTCTCTTTTGGGGCCCCTTCCTAAGGTGTGCATCACAGATTTTTTCAGATTGTTTGTTGAACTTGTTTGATAATTTACCGCTACAAACAGGCATTAGAGATCTGTAAGTGGCTCAGATTCTTCAGTTCTTGGTTTCCTATTGCTCTTTCAGCTGCTGATGCGACTAGCAAAGACCTGGCCTATTCCCTAATTCCACTGTCATGAAGCTAACCCTTTTTTTTGCTGACAGCAAAATTGTTGTGCTCCACAGATATGTTTTAAGGCCAAAAGCTCCAAACAAGTGCCTGATGTCAGGCACTTAAATCCATGCACGGGGCGTAGTGCTTCTGGAACTGTTCTCAGAAATAAATTTTTTTTGTGTGTGTGAACAAATAAATTTTGCAGCTGTCTACCAACAACTGAAGAACACAAGGTTGTTTTGTTTTGTTCAAGTGGAGAGCTATCAAGTATAGGGGCTTTATTGCAGGAGTTAAGATAAACTTGTTGCTACAGACCCTGTAGGTTAATACAGGACAGTACAAACTATACCAGACAATGCTAATTTAAATGTACTCTGTTGTATAACGTGTGCTTAAAGCTCTGCACGACCTGTACTGCAGTAGCTACCTGCTTCTCTTCAAAATAAAGGGGCATCTGTCACCCTGCTGGACTGGTTCTCCAGAAATGCAACTCTAAGCCCCTCTTCTCTGGCAAAATGGGTTGTGGGGAGACATGCAGATGAGTTTCCTACAGTTCCCTATGCTTGCCTCCGTGGCATCTACATGAGATGAAGTCTCCAAATGTCGTTTTTTCCCCTCAAGAGCCCGTCTTTAGGTGGCGTCTTGCTCATGGCACTATGGCTTCTTCCAGGGTTGAGATGCAGAAGATGAAAGTGGTGAGGCCGTCGGCTGATGTAGCCAGGTACACGATGATCTTCCACAAACGAGACCATGGTAATGAGGAGAATGGAGAGAGGTGAGTCAAGAACAGTGTTCCAGCTTGCGTTGTCTCGGTGTGTGGCTAGGAGCCAGGCACCTGGGGGCCACGGTCTTTGTTCTTAGGTGACACCCCTGTGCCACCACTGTTCACAGCTGGCAGCGGTTGCTCTGTACGTGAGATCTGCCTAGAACTGACGGGGTGATGATGTTCCTTAGAAATTTCCAAAGTTATAGTTACATGGATATGATTGGAGCGCGTGATTTCAGAGATTTAAACCAAAGGACTCTTTTCCCCACGTCTGTCCATGCTGAGGACAGGAGATGCAGGACTTTATGACCCCAGTAGATACAGAATGGCCGTAGCTCTGCTTCCAAGGTTACTAGTACTGGAAAAGAGCTCAAAACTCCTTTCCTATGCATGTCAATTAAGATTTTCTCCTCTTTGTCCTCAGGATGAAGCTTCTACGTCAGGTATCTAGAACATGGAAAACAGACGGGCTGAACTCTTGCTCCTATAAACTGCTCTCAGTGGAACACAACCCTTTGTATGTCAACATCACGGTAGATTTCAGCATGCAGCCCAAGATCTCCTAAGGGTGAGCACCACACAGGTGATAGGAAATGGCAACAGATCTTGTTTGTGGCTGCTGTTACAGCAGATGGATGACTCCTGGCGCTCTGCCTGAAAGGGTACTTCGGTAGCACAGAAGAAAGTTTTTCTTCACAGCATCTAAATGATTGGTTGAGAACTTCCTTTTCTGAGGACTGGAGAGGTGGACTGACCTGAGAGGCAGGTCCTTGTGTTTTGTGCACTTTCCCCTGGGACACTTACAGAAGTGTCCTTGTTTGGGCTGGTCCGGTGGAAGGACTTGAACTTATTTTCCTGAAAGAAAATTCGTTCTTTCAACTATTCCTAAACTTACTTGTTATAGCAGGAAGGCTGCCTAGCACTGCTGTGACTTCAAAAGGAACAGGCTAGTCTCTTCTCATTAAAAGCACAAGAGTTCTTCACCAACTACAAACTTGCTGAGAAAAGCTAGGTTTTCCTCAGCCTGGGGGTTGCTTGTGTGTGAGGGAAGGGCAATAATGGTAATGGGTGAGGAGATGTTAAAAATCTCTCAATAAATACACTCCATTGAATTCAGAAGGTTTCTCTTGTCCTTCATGAGCTCAGCTCACCCTGCTGTGGGACTGCTTAAGTGTCTTACGCAAAAGGAAAGTCTCGGTTCTGCAGTAGGCTGCAGGCTCTGTGTTATTCTGGAGATACTGGAAAGGAAATGCAGTGACCAGCCATGGCAGACGGAGAGAAATTCCTGGCCACAGTCTTTAATGCTTTGGGCTACCCTGTTAGCAGAGTGCATATTTGTATACATTCTTGTTTTAGAAGACTGGTAAAAGTCTGTGGATGGATAACTGTTCCACTTATGCTACAGGATTTCTGCAAAAATCTTGATCAGAGAACTTTTTTTACTGCTTTATACCTAACTGTCCTTCTACCTGCTTGCTGGATATGCATCCCTTGCAGGTAGATGTGAAGCCAGGCTTGGGAGAGTTTCTTATAGTACACAATATACTAAGAATTACATGACAAAAAGCAACTTCTGCTTACTGTAATACTGAAGAATGATTCTATAGGTGGTTGACACATTATTCTACCTGTAGAGAAGACTGAAGCTTTATGTAAGTTTGTATGTGGTAGTGGGATAGATGCAGCTCTTCAGTGAACAGAGAATTTTAGTATCTACAAGTAACAAGCAAAATTACCCTGTGTCAGGCTTGGGAAATAATTGGACCTGGTAGGCAGCATAAGGTCAGGGGCAGGCTCTGTCAATCTCAGTCAGGTAAGCACAAACGCATTCCTGCCAGGGTCACGGCTCCACTGTTGACATGTTTGACTTAGTTTTGCCTCTCGTATTTAATTTCTCAGAAGTATTTTATGTTGCAGATAGTTCAACCTTGAAAGATAATTAATGTTTGTGCGACAGCTGAAATACTAGATGAATTTCCCTACTCTGAGCAGGAGGTTAGACTAGGTGACAAAGCCTGAATTACACCATAAAAACATTTCAATACTGCTGGATCAGGCCAGAAAAAACCCAAGGACTTAAGCTCTGGTTTTCTCTAGTTTCAGGGCAACTTTCTCCTTTATTATGCTCTTATTAAATATTCTAGAAAATCTTAACCCAAACACATAACTCAATTTATTGTATTCAAATCCACAAAAGATACAGAACTGCAACAGGCTTGAATACTTTCTCAAAATACAGCACTTCAGGGGCCTGTCTGACAGAATGGCTTGTATCCTAATTAACGCTTAAGTACAAAGCAGGCCAGAGCTATCCACCTATGGAACAGAGGTTCCAGGAAATTTGGGTCAGCTTACTCTCAAGGAGACCTTGATCCCCAAGGGCTGGGAGGTAGGCTGAGCTCAGGAGTTAATTTTACAGTAACCCCCCACCCTATTTATTAGCTATCCTACCCTATTCCTGAAGCCTTTTCTTCTAAATCTTAAACAGGAAAAAAGTGAAATGCATGAAAGACATAGGAATTAGTCTCAGGTGGTGCTAACTCCACACCACAGCAGGAGGTAGAGGCTGAATGCCCATATGCATGCTGCCATGCTGAGCCCAAACTCTGGTTTTGTTTTCATTCTCTTAAGAAAATGGGGGAACATATCCAATGTCCACAGTGATGTTGGTATAAAGAGGATGCTTTGTCCTGGAAAGGAGCTTGAACTCTAATGAATTCATTCCATCATCTTTCCATGTTTTTCTGGTGTTGTGTCGGGAAGGAGGCCTGAAGAAGGAAGAATACCTGCAGTTAGGAGAAGAAAGGTGACATTTGTAGCTGAAGCTGCAGAAGAAACAGTCTTCCCAAGGGGGCAAGGGCTTTGCAGGTAAAAGCTGCTAGCAGAAAAGCCCCAAGAAAATTCTTCTCACAACAAAGACTAGAGAGCAGGCATTTTATAAGCCTAAACCAATTAGAGTAAATTTACACTGACTACTCTAAACACAGAAGACAATTTGGACTGGAACTGAGGGAGAGACCAGCAAGATGGCAACTACAGTCTGCAGAAAACAGAGGAACTGGCAGCAGCTGAGAGAGGCCTGGGAGTGTAACAGAGGCTTGCAGCAGTGGTGTAGGTAGGTTTTAAGAAAGGGTTGTTATGGAAACCTGAGTTTTGAGATGCTAGAGAGAAGACTGCACTGTTGGTATGAGAAGCCTCTGCCACCCTTGACCCAGTGCCCTCCTCTAGCTCTTTTCTATAAAACTGACTCTTTGCTAAGGTCTCTCATAGCACCTTCCTCATATCTTCAAACTGGAATACTGCTTTCTGGTATTTCAGTGGCACACTGTAAATCCACACAGATTGAGGAGCAAGTTTTTATTATAGGGAAGGTGTAACAAAGTGCCTCTTCACACTGAACACTCCCTATTTACAAGACAGCATTTGTAAAAAAGTTTTATTCCCTGAATAATGTGATGTTCAAGTGTGATATGTGTTAGCTTCCCAGCTGGCACATGTCCTTAACAGTAGGAAACTAGAAGAAAACCTTCAAAGGCAGAGACGGGAGCAGAATGATTCAGCTCAAACTGACTGGGAGCCTTCTTTAAATAGCCACATTAAAGCAGAAAAGCAGCAGCATTAGATATACTGTCTGCCTGTTTCTGAGGAAGATGATGGTAACAGTCACCCTGTCACAAGACAAAGAATAGCCTCCTCACTCCCCCACCCCCAGTTACCTTCTCCAAGGGTCTTGTGTCTCTCTTTCTCCACTGTAGTCCATCACTTTGTAGCGTCCAAGGTGAGGTGATGTCCGGACTATTTTCATCCCTGCTAACTGAATCCTTTAAAGCAAGAGACAAAATGTTTGCTTAGGCATAAAGATGCCAGTTATAGGCTTAGTTATAGGAAAGTTCAAAGTCAGAGATGATTTTCAGTGTTAATGCAGTCAAAGCAAAATGCAGAAGGGAGCAGGTTTATCATCAGTGCTGCATTATCTTCTCTAGTAGTTTCTAACCAGGCTCGGGCTAAAAAGCTCCCAGCTGCAGTGTGCTTCCACAGGGTACAATGAGCGTTACAGCAAGCAGGGGATGAACAGCATACAGAGCATTCAAGAGCAATTCCCATGAATCGGACAGTTGAGTATTACTCTTGCTTTCTTGTAAGAACAGAGCTTTTCCTGCCTTGAGGTCCTCCACCTAAATTTCAAAAAAAATCCCAAACAAACAAATTGCAGTTTCTGAAAGGAAGCCAGTGCTCAGTTTCAGATCCAGATTAAGCCCCTCTGTTCTTTGAGAAGTCCCATTCATTCAAATGGCCTGATTAGAGAACTGGCTTCATAAAAGATTAGTGATAAATACAGGCACCAGACAAACAAATGTGAGCTGTTCAGCTGCAGGACAGTTAGAGAAGGAAAACAGTGAACTGCAGGCTCAGGATTCCAGAACCAGGGCTCCTAAAACCAGCATTTTGGGTGATTTTCAAGCAAGCCATTACTGATGGCATCTATGTTAGTTTACCGATAAAAAGTGCATGTAATAGTAGTAGGCCTTGCAAACCTCTGTTATCACAGGGCAGCTCTTGGAGAAAAGGCCTGTGACTGTAAGAATGAATGTTTGCTCATCTGAGATGATTTAACTGGCATGTTTGCAACATCTGATTGCCTTCTGTTGAGATCTGATACAGCCTCAAGCTGCACTCAAGCACTAATGTTATCAAGCTGAAAGAGGCTACAGAACTGAAAATATTTGTTAGTCTGGAGCCATGGAATGATGACAACACTTCATTGACAGTATGACATGCTATTATTTCAGACTGAGTTGTAGACAAGGTTTCTTGTTTTTTGAACATAGGCTTACTGCATGTTCAATCAAAAAGATGAGAAAGAGCAAGAACACTAAACTAACTTTGCTGTTATAGTTTCTGCATTGCAAGATTAAATTAAAACCGTACTATGAAACGGTTAATACATTAATTTACTGATAAGGACCACCCAACAGACTTTCCTGTATTTGATAATGTCAACACGTACCTGGTTCCAATTAGTGTTTTCTTCTAATAAAAGGTAGATCCTGGTGTTTGCTAGGACTAATAGTATAGACTACTGCAGTCTGCCAACTATAAGTAGCAGCCAGCATGTTTTTTTTTCACTAACTCTGCTTTAATAAGCAGTATCTCAGCAAAAGCCTTTATACCTTTTTGACGTTTCAATATGCAATTTCAAATACTAATTAATTTTGTTGCTACATGATAAGTGCTTGAGCATGTCCTAAAATACAAATCCCAGTAGGTGCATCAAGCCAGCTCATTCCTAACTTCTGCAGGCTGAAACTTCAGTATGTGAATAAATCACTACAGGCATTGTCCATGGCCTCCATGGACCTAGGGGCGAGAATATTGCTAATCATTAGTATAGGTTTTCAGAGATACAGCACACGATTTACTTCCCTTCAAGAAAGGGCTATTTTAGGATTTACATAACCTACTTGCCTTAAGAGATTTCTGTTAAGGAATTGCACTCCTATGCATAACTGGCATGTCTCTCTACCATGGGTACTGGAAACCACATTAGTTGCCCAAGCTGTACTAAGAACAGCTGAATAGACCCAGCATTGTAGTGTTTGATGTAAAGATCTTTTTTCCTGGCATTCCATTCCTTTAGTAAATGCTAAATCTAAACAATCACACACCCTTTTAGTTAGCTTTTTCTGAAAGGAAAAGGAGGAATTCTATGTTAGAAAATCTGATTTTCAATTCTCAGAAGAATACTGCTTTGTAGAAACTCCTATAGTCCTCGAACAGAACATTCCACCAAAACTGTGTAACTTGTCACACTATGAAAGACCAAAAAACACACGAGGGCTTTATTGTCAGTTTAGTTTTATAAACTGCCCATGAGCCTTCCTCAGTGTAGGATGATGAAGGTGCACAGTACAACTACAAAGCTGAATAAAGAAGCCATGATTTCGTACTTGAGGAATTCGCATTAGGCAGAGTACCTGGAACTAAACTCATTGTATTCAGTTCTATAGCATGCTGCTGCCATGGCAACTAATGTACAAGAAAAAAACAGATCTTGCTGTCACTGACTCACAGTTATTCACTGGCTTCTCCATCACCCAGCACTGAAGACAGAAGTTTAGAATTCCTTGTGTTCCTTAATTCCAAGTATCGGTGATTAGGTAAAATAACTTGAAATTGCCAACTGTCTGAGATTTCCTAAGTGCCTCCTTGGTTTTCTTATTCATCAAGCTTGCAGATTCCTTCCTTCCCTTAGGGCTGTTAATGTCAGTGAAGTCACTTGTCAACTACTGGTGGTTATAACCCCTTGGATGCACTCCGGAGCGGCTGAAGGCACAAGGATGTGAAATAACATTCTGCCCTCCAGAGTCTGAGGAAAGCTTTGTCCTCTCAGCACACAGTAATCGGGTTCATAGATTCTGAGCATCTTCTGACATTAACCATTCCCAATGCCAACAGCATTTTGGGTTACAATGATACTGTGAGCACGTTAAGGAACAACATCTTAGTTCCTTTCTTAGGGTAATGCTACATGTTTCACTAGTCAGCTTGGTTCTATTTTAAGCCTGCCCTGTGCATTAGTACCTTGTAGCAATGTCATCGTTTTCACCACCACTGCCCCAGTATGTGTTTGGAAACCCGTTTATCTTCATGTAATGTTCTGGAGTCAGAGCAGATACACCCCCAAAAAAGGACTTGTACGGCAGACTAAAAGAAAAAAAGAAAAAAAAAAAAATCAATATTGGAGGCTAATACCAATACTCCACAAACTAACATGATCCAAGTCCCACATATGAATTGCACTCCTTACAGACACTGCCATTGCAATGCCAAAACCCAAAATAGCAAACCCCATGTAATTCCCATCATGTTCCATTCCCCCCGCCTTCACCCCAGCAGACCAAAGTAAAGCTGGTTTTGAAATTCACATCTTGGGTCAGTTCAGAATACTTGCATCCTATCACGCATCTTCCACATGATCCAGTAATCCCCACCCCCCCACCCTATACTTCTAATCTGGAAGGAAAGGCAAACATACATCTGCCAGTCATCTGCCAAGCTGAGCTAACAGTGGAACAGGGAACTGTTGAAGATTGCACGCTTCGGTGTTACGGCTTAACCCCAGCCAGCAACTAAGCACCCCACAGCCGCTCGCTCACTCCTCCTTCCCCCTCCCACTGGGATGGGGAAGAGAATCAAAAAAAAGTACAAGTACAACTTGCAGGTTGAGATAAGACCATATTAATAACTGAAATAAAATAAAATATATAATAATATTAATTGTACTGGAAGGGACTATAACAACAAGAGAGAGAAAGAAAACCCAGGAAAAGACAAGTGATGCACAACGCAACTGCTCACCTCCCTCTGACTGATGCCCGAGCACTGATCTGCCCCTCCCGGCCCACTCCCCCCAGTTTATATACTGGGCATGACATTCTGTGATATGGAATATCCCTTTGGCTAGTTTGGGTCAGCTCTCCTGGCCGTGCCCCCTCCCAGCTTCTTGTGCACCCGCTTGCAGGCAGAGAACAGGAAACTGAAAAATCCTTGACTTAGGATAAGCCCTACCTAGCAACAACTAAAACATCAGTGTGTTATCAACATTATTCTCACACTGAATCCAAACCACAACACTGTACCAGCTACTCGGAAGAAGATGAAGTCTATCCCAGCAAAAACCAGGACAATAGGTCAAGAATACCTTTTCCTGGGGAAATCACTACTGCAAAACTAACCAACAGAGAACCTCCTAAAGGTTCTGTCTTTCACTGTCCCCATTCATACTTTCTATGCAAAAATGGAACCAATTAGGATACATACATTCAAATCAAATGGAGGCACATACGTGTACTGAAACTTATCCATGGCACTAGCCATATGCTTGGGATAGTATTCATCGCAAACATAGAGATTATAATCGTTCTCAGGTACTAGGTCCACATCATGCAGGAGAAGGCAGTCCCAGTCTTCGTCCTTCAGGGCTTCCCGGACACCAACATTAAGCAGCTTTGCTCGGTTAAATGTACCATTCCCTACCTGGAAAAGAAAACCTAACATTTCTTCACCAAAACAACAAAGAAGATAACTCATTTCAAATTTCTGTTATTAAAAAGCCCTTGTTTGGTTGAATGACACTGGAATGAATCAATACTAGCTGCAAATTTCATGCCCCAGCCTCTGAAAATTTCACCCATTCTCTTCACAATATTCTGACCAATTGTAAGCTTTGCTGTGTCAGGGGCTATATACTGTCAGCACCTGAAGACAGCTGGCTTAAGAGACCAGTAAGTCAATCCTCAAGTGTAGATCTGCACATCAACAATTTTGTCCTGACTACTGCTTATCAAAAAGCTTAGAAATGAGAAAAAAGATCTTGGTCAAACAAAAAAGCTTCTTCTCCCCAACAATCAACAATCAGTTTTCACTAAATTAATGAATCCAGAAGTTGCTCTCTCCCCACTTATCTTTTGTGACACCAATCCATGTCAGTTACAAATGACTGTTTGACCCGCATTGGCTGCCCCACAGCAGGGTCAAGCCAGATGTTTTTATTTGATACAGGCTAAAACTATCCAACCCCACTTTAGCATTTAGCCCCTACAGTTTTTCTTGGTAACCACACTGATAAGCTACAGACAAACCATCTTCAACTCCTGAACAGCTAAAAATACGGCTTACCACTTAATGACAACTTTCTTCCTCTAAAAGAAAAAAAAAAAAAAAAAAGCAGAACTAATCAATAGCAGAATAATAATCTTCACAAGTGCTATGTTATTTCAGCCATTAGCGGTCATGGAGATGGGCCAGCGTGTAACTGACCTACTCTCAGACCCATGCATAAAATGGTACTTCCACATTAGAATGAAGATTCACATCTCTTGTTCGGAACCTAACCCTTAACTGGGAGGCTCAGCTACACCACCAGACACCTCTGATTTCGATTTACCTGCTGAATCAAGTAGATACTGTAACTGAGCTGTTGGCGCTGCAAGAAGGGATGAATGTAGTAGAGGAGCTGGTGAAGGTACTTCTCCTGGTTCCTGTAGGCTACGAGGATGGCTGATTTGTAGCGGGCCAAGCAGTGAGGTGGCCTGTACCGGCCACCAGACTGAACAAAAGGATTTTTTTTGATGATCATTCTTTCACTACGGAGCACCCTGAAGGTGATGGTTAACGGACCAACTGTAAGGAGAGAACAGGAAAAATAAAAAAACCACAAAGCAAGATCAGTGATGTTTCTCAACCTTCTTTCAAACCTATCAGATCCAGCTACCTGTGTTTACTACTTTTGGACCCCAGCCCTGCCACGGAACACTTCACAGCGCTGCACAGACGTGCCCACATCAGGAATTCCACCACTACCTGCTGGTCACCTCCCACGGCTCCACACCAAGGGGATGGCAGGCGATCTGCCAGAGGCATCCCGAGTCCCCGCAGAGCCAGCAAGCCTCACAGGCTCCTGCACAGCTTGCTTTTCCTGGTATCGGCTCCCTGCTACACAAGCAAGCCTTCTGTATTGTACTTGCTCTTGCTACCCGTATGGATAAAGTCTCTAAGCCTCTTTCAGGGGAGATTCAAGGACAAAGATGTCCCTTAGGATATTCAGCTGGTTGGGGGAAAAACAGTTTAAAGCCTGCATGAATACAAACACTTTAGGAAATGTTCGCTTTATCTTAAAAAATTTCAAGTTCAACTTGATGTAATAATCACATGCCACTAGGGCTGTATTTGCTGTATTATTTCATTATGTACACTGTGATAAGCTGGCAGTACTTCTGGGGAGAAGAACAGAACCGAGAAGGAAGAGATGTTACATTTTCAGGAAGAGGCGCAGGGTAGCAAAAGAAACTACATACGACAGCTCCTCTACTCAGCACCTCAATTTTAAATAGAAAACATACTGGATATGTTCACCAGTTTTTACCTAATTAAAAAAAAAAAAAAACATAATCTGCATTTTTATATGAATTGTTCCATTCTTCAGGTAGCAAAAAGCTTGACAAGTCACAGCTAAGAAAGAATCAATATGAAGCGTCAATCACCATTTTAACACAAGTCTCATATGGTTACAATACGAATAAACAAATTCTATATTTAAATGCCTGTCCTTCTGGGTAGTGAGAAAAGGCTCCAGAACTAGCAGAAGTGTTATATTTATACACAAGTCAGTGTGTCCTAATGTTTCCAGCCACTGTCAACTTCTAAGAAAATAAAGCACAAATGCAGAACAAGATTAAAAAACTATTACTTAACTGAACTTGGAAGAAACCTTCACCTAAATCACAATTAAAACTTAACGATTTCAAATGACAGTTTTCAGTAGGACCAACAATTCTCTGCAGGCCATGCTACCCAAAGACAATGTATTTTTTTGCACCAGAAGCCTGCGAGGCAAGTTTTGGGGTTTGATTTTGGTTTTTAAATAGCTATAAATAAGATTTTCTTTTCCTTCCAAGCTCATATTTAATACTGAAAACTTGCTTTAAGACAGCCATAGTATCTTGTAAGTCAGACTCCCTCTTGAACCTCTGAAATAAATTATTCTCTCAAAAAACTTCTGATAATGAAACCTGAAAGAGCACGTCTTTAGGCCAGGTGTTCAGTAGCTTTCATTGGAGCAGAGAAAGGTACGGGTGTGTCTTACGTCTAATTAAGTATTTAAGCAGGTGAGTCCAAAAGATACTTCTTCCAGCTCATCCTACATTCAAGTCTCTGCTACAATTCTAACGAAAAAAAACTGAGCCTGCGCTCACCCACATCCTGTTTAACTGACACAGAAGGAAGCAACATCCCTCCACTACTTTCCTGGGTTTGCTTTGGGGTTTTTTTTTTGAGCACTAACAAGGCTTAAGGACTAAATTTGGCATAAGATTCAAGCTGTCCATTCAGAACTCGGAAACATTTTGCTAGTATGGGGAAGGTGGTATAATTCACACTTCTGATGGGCAAAGCTATACTTGATAAGTGTCTCCTTTTCTTCCTCAAGGAGCTCACGTAACTGCATTTCTTGAAGGCCAGTCTGAACAGCCACTGATCCCATCCCTCATGCTGTCAAAAAGGTCTAGCCACTGTGAATCCCACTTCATGGTTTTTGTTGGTTGGGTTTTGTTTGTTTTGAAACAGAAAACCTGAATTTTTCTTGTCAGCAAGATCTTGCAATAGCTGACTTAAGTATCACTTTTCAGTCCTTCCCTAAGTATCTAAAATGCAGGGGGAATTTGATGCAGTCAAAGCATTACCCTCTGTAGGAAACTGGAGAACATTGTCATAATACCTTTGTACCCGAAACAGAAGAGTAGTTCTTCAGAGAATCATGCTATGGGCCCATAAATCTAGGTCACATTTACAGTTAAGATTTTATGAAGTTATTACCTACTTCTACGCAGACAGTTTCCTTTTCTGCCTCCAAGACCACCACGTTTCAGTCCAACATTGTTTTTAACCTGTAGTTTATGTTGCTTTTAAGATTTATGAACTCTCTGATGATCAGATCTTTTAACTAAAGCACCATTAACCACTGATTTGATGATAACTGGAGCTTGCTAAAGAAATGTTATATTCAGATTGGATTTCAACTACAGATCATTGCTCCAAGGAAAATATAAGAAAGGGAATTAATCCCTTTTGTTCTCTCACAAAAGCAGGGTTTTGTTTTCTATAATACAATTGGGGCTTTTTGTATTGCAGAGTAAGATTCTGTAGCAATAATCCTTAAATTCCCAAAAAAAAAGAATTCTAAATTTGGACATAAGTATATGAATAAGATAACATACAATAGTTCCACTTCTGATGTCTCCTTCCTTACCCAAGCATATGATTCATGAGGGTAATACCTGCATTTTGCACCTTTTTCAGGCTGTCATGTTCTCCCAAGCTGCCTGGCTCCATACCTCAAACAACTCAGCTCAGAAACTCAATCCAGTATATGCCAAGGAAACACAGAAAAAAGAAGTTACTCTGTGTCTTATATCCCCAAAACCTCTGGCTGTCCTACGCTCCTTGGCTACGAGCTAAATTCTGGCTCTCAGGTCTCCTTCCTGCTCAACTAACAAAAGGCTAATGCACTGTAATCCAATGAAATCCCAAATGTGAACGAAGCAGTTGCAGGCTGGACCAAATAGGGAAAAAAGAAACTGCCAGAGTGCAGCTTTGGGCTAGGAGAGAAACCCCATCTTAGATACAATAGAAAGCACAGGATCCCAATTCAGACAAGGTACAGAATCAACACCCTGACTTGTCTAAGCAATTCCTCTGTAGCCTGGCTCCTAAGATCTTTCTGTGCCAGTACCATCACACGAAGGATGTTTAATTAATATGAAACTTTAATGTACAGGGTTAAAACTCACAATTCCCTGTCTGTACTGTTAGTTGGTGCCAGTGACAGCATGCTCCTTGTTTGCTTTACTTTTTAGGCAACACATTTGACTATCGGGGGAATCTATTTATTTTGACCAGATCTGTCCCATCTTAAGAAACTACATGACTTCTAAACTTCTTACTACACATTTAGAGTTAGCAGCTATAATTACTGAGTTCAACCAGAATAAGAACTTACACAAGCTAAACAAATGGCAACAGTAGTATGGATGAATATATCACTGAGAAAGTGCAGCGCCACATGTTACATGAAGTAACAACATTACATTAAGTAATGATACAAGTGATATTTGCATAATTCGACCACTGTTTGAATAAAAGAAAAAAAAAAAAAAAAGCAGATCAACAGCCTTAATTTAAGCACCAGCTTCCAATGACAGAATACAAGGCTGCCTCAACTGCAGCTGGAAACAAATCTCAGCATTACCACCTTTTTACTTCTCTTTGAATCCGAGAGAAGAAACTCTAGTAGGAGAACACCCATTAGGAAATGCAGCAGGAGCTACTCATTACCACAACAGATGGGCACACTCATGAAGAGGTTATGACAGATGGGGGGGTGAAAGGGAGTAACTACTATAAGAAGGGCTTGGAAAAAAAAATCTTCCATAGCATGAGTAAGTTATGAACAGCAGAGCTACAGACAGAACTTTCAACTATTAAAGTCCTCAAGGTCCAAACTCATTCAGCACATACCATGCACGAAGGTACCTCTTTAAAAATAAAAAACTGAGTCTTCTAGCATTACGCTTCTTCCTGGTAAGACGAAAAGATGAACCGAAACAACACATCCTGCTACTTTTTAAGTTCGAATAAGCACAACTCTAGCATATAAACACTTTGCTTTTTCCAAAATCACACAGGAAGAGGAAAGAGGCAACTGGTTATTTGTGTAGAAACTTTAACCTTTAAGGGAACCTGAGTAATTATTCACAATATTAATGAAGCCACTGATTATCTAGTACAATGCTTTTCAAGTTGTCAGTCACAAAAGGCCCAATGTATACCACTAAGTGTTAAAAAAGTAACATTAATCAGCAAGTCCAGTTCCTCTAAGGCAGAGGTGTTTAGCAATAAGACTTTAATTCTTACTCCACAACCCTGGAAGAATCAAGATGCTGCAGATTCAGGAGGCAGGAAAAAGACAGATGAGAAGCTGACCTTACATTCAAACAGTTATCACAATTATCTACTATACATATAAGTGAAAGAAGTGCTGCACTTCATGAAAGCCCTGATGCAGAAACCATTTAAGCCATTTGGCATTCTTCCAGTTACTTTAACACGCTTTGGAGCGGACACAGTGACTTATTACCAGCTCTGAATTGGAGACTGGAGTCCTCAAGAATTGATTTGAAATCTCATTTAATGGAGTTTATGAAATTAATATTAAAAGGCATCGTTCTCTCCTATATAACACTTCCAAGAGAGATCAGTCCCATGAGATAAGATGATAACATCCAATCAAGACATTTGTAAAGAATTTATATATATATTCATATGTGCCCATCACATACAAAACAAAGGGCAACTACCTTGCAGAGCAGCATGCATTTCTCGGGTAAAAAAAGACACACCACCCAGAAAAGGCTGGCATATAGTAATACCAGGAGTAGTAATTTACTTCTTATACTTAAAGGGATCTGTCAGTGAGTAAAAGTTAGGTTTGTAGCAAGGTGCTTATTTCCCTTAAGCTGAATCTGTATCAATGCTCCAAATAATGTGTTTCACAGAACAATGCTTCATACACTCAGCTCTAATTTTTTATGCAGCAAAACTTCTACAATTACTTTGCTTCATTTTTTTTCTCCCAGTCAACTTACTGTTTGTCTATAACTAACATTGTCTTCATTTATGCTCTGAAGTACCACGTGCAGGCCAATCCCCTCTGTTCTCAGCACTCTCAGGGATGGACAGAAGAAAAGGTCTTAAAAAGACTTCATAGCTCTAACAACACTGATGCAGAGTAAAATTAAACTAACCTGCCTCCTCCATATACAACACTATTGTTGCTTATCTGATGGTTTGCATGCAAGCTACACAGAATTGCACCTTTTTTTTTTTTTTTTTTTTTTTTTTTTGAGACCAAAGCTGTCTTATTTGACCTTCTTCAGGACAGTGGATTCTCATCACTAGTGGGGACAAGGAGGGTGCAGGCACGTTTCTGCTGTGCTTTTTCAAATAAAACAATTAAGTCTGAAACACAGAATCATAACTTCTCAAAAGAACCGAGGGGCTGCAGCCAGTGATGAATAGAGACTGCACTAAGACAGTTACAACTGGCACCTGTGCAAAAAGGCTCTGTAGTATCAGTATTTCAGTATTTCCTTGGTAGAGCTGTTTCCAAGAGAAATGCTGAAGCATATAACCAAAAGTTATCTTACAATTTCACCATATATACTACATGCATTTCATTTAACTTCGGTGACAGAGGAAGGAAGAAAACTTTCCAAAAGAACAAGCATCGTTATGAAGACTGTAGTCTAAGAAGGCTCATCCAAAGCATCCCAGCAGAGTTCTCGAACAGAAGCAAGCAACTTGACACGAGTAACCACAGCACTAGCTTTCCACAATACTTTCACCTGTGAACCAGGGTCAGCCATTTGCTCTTACTGTGCTCCACATGTGATCAGCTTTCCTAGAACAGCAGGGCAACTACTAAGTAGTACTCCAAGACTAGTTGCTTAAGTGTGAGACTTAGATATTCTCTATTATCAGAGATGCACCACTTTACTACCAATCAAACTTGCTTTATGAGTTTGACTTTCCATTTACTTAGTTTCTCAACTGTTGTAGTAGTGCAGTAGCTGGGTTAATGCTGTCTCTGTGATCAGGTCTAGTTTGGTCCTAGTGTAAATAAAAGTCTGGTCACAGGTTAATTTGTAAGTTGAAAGATGTTTCTAAGTCAACAGGACGCATAACAATCAGAGGCAAAAAAGATCACCATGAAGAGCAAGGTGCCAAGCTATGCTCTCATACAAACGATATTTAAAGCCAACTTCATCAGTTACCTTAATCAATTTATACTGAACTACAGGTTTGATATAAGGTTGAGACAAAGAACCCAGGAACTACAGTGAGTCAGAGGTTAAAATTATGCAGTTAGCAAAGTACAATCATTGGCACATTTTATACAGGACCACCAAGAAAAATACAGTGTTACTAAGTTGACATTAACAGCATGCAGTGATTTCACTCTTGTTCTGCAGTCTCTATACAGCCAAATCCCTAATACTGGATTTTTTTAGATCAGTAAAATACCGTTCCTCATATTGCCAATAAGTTAATGAACACAAGAAAGTTCTGCCAGTGTATTACACCAGTATACCACTTTTAAAGTGGGAAAGTTTGAAAAATACAGAACATTTACAAAGTGTTCAGTGTTACCACGTACCAAAGCAGTTACGACAAACACTATCGGTTCATACCTACCAAATATTGGTGACTGCGCTGAGCAGTATGGCATAGTTTCTTCATTAGGAGCTTGGGTAAACAAGCTGAGGTTTGTATACACATCATGAGTGTTTGAGTAGTCCAGAATCTGATGCGAGTCTGAAAACCCACGAAACACATTTGAAGGCCCACCTCGGTACAGTATCAGGATAAATATCGCTTGGAAGACAAACAGAAACAGCAGGAAACACGGATTTTCGACACGAGAGAGGGACATAGTTTTTAGCCCATGCTTTGGAGTCAGACCGGTGAGGAGTTTAACTGCCTTCCCCGAGCCGCCGTTCTACTTGCAGGGCTACATCGCTGGGCACAGGAGACCTCCTCCTCCTTCTTCTTCTTCTCCTCCTCCTCCTCCTCGAGCCAAGCCACCCCTTCCCGCCACAAGCTCTGCGAGGCGGACTGAGGGAGAGGAAAAGCCATCCGAGCCCACCCAGGGCAGACGTGCCGCGGGGGCCGCCCCCCGCACCCCAACCGCCTGCCCTCCGCGGGGACGGCTCCCTGAGGCAGCGGCAGCGGCGGGAAGCACGCCCGGGCGGCTGCGGGAGCGGGAGAGAAGGAGGGAGGGAGGACGGACTGACGGACGGCCCGCCCGCGGACACAGCGGCCCACGCGCGGCGAGGCAGGCTCGCCTGTAACCTCGGCGGCTCCCGGCGGCCGGCCCTACCCCCGTCCCGCCCCAGCCCACCGCCAGCGCCGTGGCTGTGGCCGCCCAACCGTCACGGCCACACAGCCGCCACCGCGGAGAGACCTGGCTCCCCCGCCTTCCGGCGAGACTACATCTCCCAGCGTGCAAAGCGAGGTGGGGCGGGGCCCGGCAGGTGCCGCGGCGCCGTGCGGCGTGCTGGGAGGTGTAGTCCCCGCGCCCCGGTTCCTCAGCGCTCGGCGCCGCCATGGCGCTCAGGCCCGGGGGGCCGCCGGGTGACGGCGCCGTGGGGCGGAGGGGCGGGTGGCGGGCTGGGCCGCGGCTGCTTTCCGCCGCCAGACCACGGCTCCTGTCCCGGCTCTGAACTGTTTATTGAGCCGAGCAGCGAGAGGCGAACCGCAATTACTACGCTACTCTCTACCTATGCCTGAAGCGTAGCCTCCGCAGCCGTGTCACGGCCTCACGGCCCCTAAAAAATTTGGCTTTTACACCCATCTCTTTACAGGCTGATTTTCTTAATGAGGTGGGGCTTACAAGATTGCGCTGTCAGTCCGTCTGCCTGCTCTCCTAACAGATTCTTAACACGTTGCCCGTTAGGCGGAGGAAAAGAAAGACTTGCAGATACCAAATTCCTACAAGGCTTCGAAGAAGCGGCTGGGTTTGCGCCGAGGAGAGCAGTAAAAAGGAAACGTGTGTCTGCGAGAAGGGGCAGGCGCCCTCAGCTCGGCCTCCCGTCCCGCTCCAAGGCTGGCCAGTCAGCCAGCGCGCCTGGCCCCCAACCAGGCAAAAAACACGAGCTGCTGTTTGCCCCCCAAAAGGGGAGGCATGGGGAAAGGATGGGGGGAGAGGGTGAGAGCGTTTCTGTGGGGAGCGGGGAGCGCCCTTGCGTCAGAGCAGGACTAAGGTGTAGGGGACACGTCCACAGGAAACTTCACCTCAGTCATCTTGCTGCGCAGAACAACCTGTTGCTCAATTCATGTGGATTGCTTAAGGCCTGGTTGCAAATTGTTGCCATATCACATTTAATTTTAACTTAATTGCTTTTTAAAATGTATTTAACATTTCTTTTTTCCCGGGCAAAGTCTTGCTTTATCAGAACCCACCAATTCTGCAGATTGCGAGTCTCTACTGTTTGTGTTCTTGCTGTGCCATTCTCCTCATGACCTCAGCAGACCCACCCTGCTTGTCTTCCCCTCCATTAAATAAAGCAACGCTTGCAGTTCTGCTGAAAGCCCCAGCGAATACAATGCCATGGACAGGAAAGAATTAATCTCTCTATCAACCATGAAACAAACAGAGGAACCAAGATTTTTGTGGTGTGACCTGGGGTTGCAGATAGCAATTGTTTTAGGGCCTGGTACTGCTTTATAATTTAGGATTTATGCTTTGCTTGCAATCCTCCCTTGGTTTACAGTAGGAAATCGCTATGTAGGAACAACTTGGGCAAAGCTTGTCTGCCTCCATCTGTACCGGAGGCAGGGAGAAGCCGGACTTGCTGGAACTGTCCTGTGCTGGCAGCTCTGCTGACTTCCTCGCAGACGGGGCTTGCTTATAAAAATTGTCACCGTGTGTTAGTTCCTGGGCAGAAGAAGCAGATCAACTGGAAAGGCAACAGCCTACCTCAATCTGTATTTTCACCTGTGTGTATATATGCTCCCCAAACTGAAAAACTAACATACTCCTAGCCAGATCAGCTGTCTGCAGAGAAGCCGAACAGCATGTGTTTCTGTGCAGACTGGCAGAGCTGAATCTTCAGGAACGTCTCCCTCAAGAACCTTCCAAAACCAGATGCAGTTCCTCTCCTTCCCCTTCAGACATTGTCACCAAAATGGATGGATCAGAAACCACCACGAGCCTTTTTCTTACAAGAGAGCAAGCAAGTATGGACTGGAGAGCAGAGTATAGATCAGAACTTCATGATGCCAGCAGGTCCAAGCCTTTTCAAGGTCACAGTGCTCCTGTTTTAAATAGAGACTTGAAAAGCCAAGGCGTGTTTTGAATTAAAAATGAATTGTATTGCTTAAATGCAAAAAAAAATAATTTAACTGTATTCACTGAGGTGTGGAAGGGAGGTGGCAGGCATTTTAGCAACCTCTGCACACAGATTTATTGAGGGCAGTGATGGAGGAAAATAAGGTGAGACTGGATCTGTAAGAAGCAGGCACCAGGCTGTCTTCACAGTCAAAGGTCTGCCTTTCTCATTTTCACACATCTGCCTGAGAAATTAAATTGAATGCATACAAAAGAACCCCCAAACCCTGACAAACATCATCTTCAACAGAGCTTGAAATTAAGTTTGTGTGAGAGCCTCTGGATTGTCCCAAGGGAGGGGGCTTCCCTTCCCTCCAAGTGCAATTTCACCTCCAATCAGCACCGAACGTGATGAGAGACTGAGAGAAATACCTCGCTCTGTTTAATAAGATTCATTCTTGCTTGCATTTTCTCTTTCCCCTTCTCCTCCATGCCTTGTCTCCTGGGACTTGCACTAGATGTGCAGCAGAGTGGCTGTGAAGTTTGGCCTTGAAAATGCATGGCCCAGGGAAGGGAGGAGCGGTGCGCTGGTGTAATGGAGTGATAGCAAGCAGGGTGCTCATGCAGTGTCAGTCAATGCGTCTTACCTACTGCTCTCCCAATCCCCGGGGTTTATATCGAGGGAAGAGGAAGGTAGGATTAGTCCCTGTACAGGCTTTGTAGAAGCTTTCAGTTTCTACAGCCAAGCAGAGCTGTCCCTCTTTTCTTGGGGGGATGACTGTTTTCTAGCGGGGTGGACGTTTCAGGTACCTTTGGCCATGGCAGTTCTTTCTCAGCCTTTCGCAGGATCTTTGCTTGTAAACTTCACACTGCACTTTGTGCCACGCCTGTGTGATTTTTTTAATTACACAGGTATGGATTTGGCTTCTACTCTAGTATGCTAAATTATTAGCAGTGCTTCCTCAAGAGAGTCTTAAAAGTGCTTCCGTGTTTCTGGGAGGTGGGTCCCTTGTTGTGTAAAAACCCAGATGGCTGATTGTCACGTACCTTGGTCAAATGACAGAGTAAATCAGTGAGAGTATTAGAAACAGGACCTGGGTCTACTAGCTTCTTCCAGGCTTGTGGATTAGCCGACTGAGCTCCTGTCAAATAGGCCCATCCATTCTCCTCTGATCTGGACACAGAAGGAAGAGCCAAGAGAGTGGAGTTGTCTCCCTACGTGATCCCATTGCAGTGACATCTAGTGACCCAATGCGAGTTCATACATTTTCCCCAGTGGGTTGTAGCTTACAGGGACTGGCAGAAGCAGGGACTGAAACAGCATGCAGTGGGTTAGGAAGACTAGACCTTGTAATGCCTTAGCCTGCGCTTCCTTACCCTGTTGGTGCTGCTGCTGGGTGTCTCCCCCTTGCCCAGTGGGCTGTACTGCAGAGGGCCACAAGCTACTGCCCTTTCCCATTTCCCTTCACATGCAACTGATACTCCTCCAGGAGGAAGGAAGTTGAAAAATGTCTCAAGAGGTTTCACGGCCTCCAGAACCAACTGGGAGAGACTGTGGCACCAGATTCCTGCAGGAGATCCCTTATGTCTTACCATACTGCTGCTGGGACAGCTTGTCCTGGCTCTTCCCAGAGGGGAGAAGAGTATGCAGGAGCTGCCTGGACCAAGAGAGCTGGAGGGGATACAGTGCACCCTTCAGAGCAGACCTCCACAGAAATCGGGCAGCTTGCCCACTGCCAGCAGCAGCCTTCTTTAGGCATGAGCGCAGGACGCAGCTTGCCAGTCCACTAAGGCAGCTTGTGGCACCTTTCCCCTCTCCCCTGTGGAGGAGAACGGCCTGCCTGCCCTATGTTCTGACCGCCACTCACTTCTGAGTTGTGGTCAGCACCTTTGCAAGGCAATCTCAGTAGGGGCGGTCACCATGTCACCAAAATGACAGCCAGGGATGCCATGAGGCTATGGAGTTTAGGCTATATTCTCCTGTCTCCTTCTGTCTCTTTATTTCCATAATGCAGGCACCAGTCTCGGGGACCTGAAATGTTTTTGCTTGAATTTCTCTTGTAGCGTTTGGTTCAGATGAAGACTGAAGTGAGTACCCTTAAAATGAGAAGCACTAAAACTAATATGTCCTCCATTACAGAATCCACCGTGCTTTCCTGGAAAAGGAGTAAGCATTTATGCTGCAAGACAAGACAATGCTGCAATATTGTACTATTCACATCATATTTAATAACGCTCTAGTACCATTCAATATAAATAAATAACCATTAAAAAGTACTTTCTTGACATTCTCTTTCCTTCATCAATAGTATTTTCTGCAACAGGAAATGTTAGTAATATTCATTGGTTGGTGAACTGGATGAATCTCAGAGAACATGAATATCAGATACTAATAGGCTAGTAAAAACCAGGCACTGGGATGCCTTCTCTTCTTTAAACACTCCAGGCTTGATCTGCAGCTTTCTTCCTTATTGCATTCACTTTCCCCGAAGCCTGTAACTCTGACTGCTGCTCCACTCCTGGGGTCTCCCACTCAACTCTGCTAACAAACAGCCATGTTTACCTGTGGTGTCCGTTACTCACCTACCCTCAGCTGATACACCTTGGCCAGCAGCAGCCCTTGCTGTCCCTAGACTGCTCTACAGGGAAAAGAGTATTTGTGCTGAACAGGTCTGAATGTCTGCTAGCCTGGAATATCAGCTGCGTACATCCATGCTGTCCATATGAGGTCTTGGTCTCGCACAACTTAGTGACTGACGGAATTTCTCGATTCACAGAAACTCTCCTCCACAGGGCCAGGCTGGGGCAAGAATGGAGATGGTGCGATACGGTCTTGAGAGCAGATTCTGACCGGCACTGAACTGACAGCATAGCGCATATCTCTGGAATCCAGGTCCCCAGCGGGAGAAAGAGGAATAATAATTTTGCTGTCTTATAGGGATGCAGAGAGAACAACTAAGAACATGTGCGGGGGGGTATCCTTTGCAACGGGAATAGATCCTTGCTACAGGCACCCACTGCCAGTGCCAAAACGCTGTGTAGGACCTGCATGAGATTAAAGCCCGGGGAATTTATCACCGTATCCCCTCCTGTTCATACGGGCAGAAACCCTGCCCATCTCGGAGAAGAAAATGGAGGA